AAAAAAAAAAAAAAAAAAAAAACACAACAAGATACCAATTCACACTCACTAGGATAGTTAATTCAAAATGACAGACAATAACAAGTGTTAGCGAGGATGCAGAGAAATTGGAACCCCCACACACGGCTCCTGAGAATGTAAAATGGCGTGCCTGCTGTGGAAAACAGTTCAGTAATTGCTCAGAAACTTAAATGCAGAACTTAAAGATGCTACATCCTCCTAAGGATGCAGCAGTTCCACTCTTAGGTGTAGCCCCAAGAAGAATGTGGTGGCTCATTTTGGGAGGCCAAGGCAAGAGCATCACTTGAGGCCAGGAGTTTGAGACCAGTCTGGGCAACATAGCAAGACCCTATCTCTACAAAAAAAAATTTTTTTTTAATTAGCCTGGCATGGTGGCATGGGCATATAGTCCAAGCTACTCAGGAGGCTAAAGAGGGAGTATCACTTGAACCCAGGAGCTCAAGGCTTCAATGAACTATGATTACACCACTGTCTTCAGCCTGGGTGACAGAGTGAGACCTTGTCTAGAAAAACAAAAGAAAAATATATCCACATAAAAATCTGTACATGAATGAATGTGTGTAATAGCATTACTCACAATAGCCAACAACTCAAATGTCATCAAGACGTGAACGGATAAATAAAAAGTGGCACACCCATACAATCTAATTTAACATTATCTGGCAATAAAAACAAACTAAGTTTGTTTGTTTTTGAGACTGAGTCTTGCTCTATCGCCCAGGCTGGAGTGCAGTGGCACAATCTCAGCTCACTGCAACCTGAGCCTCTTGGATTCAAGTGATTCTCATGCCTTAGCCTCCTAAGTAGCTGGGATTACAGGTGCCTGCCACCATGCCCGGCTAATTTTTGTAATTTTAGTAGAGACAGGGTTTCACCATGTTGGCCAGGCTGGTCCTGAACTCCTGACCTCAGGTGATCCACCTGCCTTGGCCTCCCAAGGTGCTGAGATTACAGGCATGTGCCATGGCACCCAGCCTCGAACTAAGTTTTGATATATGCTGCAATGCATCAAACATACCTGGTGAACCTTGACATGAATATGCTAGATCGAAGAGGCCAGTCACAAAAGGCCACTTATTATATGATTCAATTTATATGAAATGTTTAGAAAAGGCAAATCCACAGAAACAGAAAGTAGCTGATTGGTTTTTTAGGGGCTGGGGAGACAGAGGGAACGAGGAGTGGCTGACAGTGGGTGAAGAGTTTCCTTCCGGGGTAAAGAAAATGTTCTCAAATTGGTGATGGTTGCATAACTCTGTGAATATCCTAAAAGCCACTGAATCACACACTTCGAAATGGTGAATTTTACGTCTCTAAATTATATTTTAACAAAACTGTTGTACGAAAACAGATGGTGGAAGAATACCTCCAGCTATCGGATATGCTATTCAGTGAGGAAAAAAAGCATGTTTGAAAAAGAATGTACAAAAAGAAAAGTATCTACAAAATGACGCTAATGATGGAAAAAATGTACAAATAAAACTGGCAAAGCATATGAATAGGCATTTCACAATCCAAATGAACCAAATATATATATATATATATATATGTATGTATATATATAGAAGAGGCCAGGTGCGGTGGCTCACGTCTGTAATTTCAGCACTTTGGGAGGCCGAGGTGGGTGGATCACAAGTTCAGGAAATCGAGACCATCCTGGCCAACAGCGTGAAAACCCGTCTCTACTAAAAATACAAAAATTAGCTGGGCGTGGTGGTATGTGCCTGGAGTCCCAGCTACTTGGGAGGCTGAGGCAGGAGAATAGCTTGAACCCGGGAGGCAGAGGTTGCAGTGAGCTGAGATTGTGCCACTGCACTCTAGCCTGGCAACAGAGTGAGACTCTGCTGGCTCTAAATAGCTCAGTCTGAAGCCATTAAGCTTTACTTACTGTTACCCCAAAACGTCCAAAGCAGAACTGGACACAGTCATACCTGGATCAAGGACCTCATGTTTGCAAAGTGCGTGTCCATGGCGCCTCCGTGGGGGAAGTTCTGGTTCATCCTCTTCATGAGTTCCGTGAAGCAGCTGAAGGCAAGGGCCTCTGAGAAAGCAGCACAGAAAAGTCAGCTCCCCTGCTGCCCAAGTGAGGTGGTTTGGATGTCTGTCCCCTCCGATTCTGATGTTGAAATATGACCTCCATGTTGGAGGTGGAGCTCGTGGGAAGTGTTTGAGTCATGGGGGTGGATTCCTCATGAATGGCTCGCTGCTGTCCTCGCAGTAACGAGTGAATTCTCACTCTATGGTGTTCACGTTAGATCTGGTTGTTTAAAAGAGCCTGGCACTTCTTCCCTCTCTCTCTTGCTCCCTCTCTTGCCATGTGACATACTGGCTCCCCTTCACCGTCCACCATGACTGGAAGTTTTCTGAGGACCTCACCAGAAGCAGGTGCCACTTTGACAAACTTATCAGTTCTAATTTTTTTTTGTGACTTAAGATCTATATGTAAAATCATATTATCTGTGAACAGAGATAGTGTTGCTTTCTTTCCAATCTGAATTCCTTTTATTTCTTTTTCTCTCTTAATTGCCCTGGCTTGAACCTAAGGTGGCAAAAGTAGACACACTTGTCTTGTTTCTGCTCTTAGGAAGTGTCCGTTTTTCACCATTGAGCGTGATGGTATTGGTGAGGTTTTTGTAGATGCTCTCTATCACGTTTCCCTTCTGCACCTAGTTTGTTGAATGTTTTTATTATGAAAGAGTGTTGCATTTTGTTTTTTCTGTGCCAATTAAGATGATTGTGTGGGTTTTTCCCTTTATTTTGGTAACGTGATGAATTAAATTGATTGATTTTTGCATGTCAAATCAGCCTTGCATTCTGGAGATAAACCCTACTTGGTCATGGCATATAATATGTTTTAAATCTTGGTGGATTAAGTTTACTGGCGTTTTGTTGAGAATTTCTGCGTTTGTATTCACGAAGGATATTGGTCTGTAGTTTTCTTGTTATGTCTTTGTCTGGTGTTGGTGTCTGGGTGCCAATGAGACACCCAGTCCTCATATGAGGTCTGGCTTTATTGAATGAGTTAAGAAGTGTTCCTTCCTTTTCTACTTTTTTGAAGGGTTCGTGAAGAACTGGCATTGATTCTTCTTTAAATGCTTCATAGAGCTCACCGGTGAAGCCGTCTGGGTTCGTTGTTTTTGTCTGTTTGCTCTCATTCAGGTTCATACAATCAGTGGCTAGCGAAGGGCTGTCTGGGTGTTGAGTATGGGGCACCATGGAACTAAAGGACTTTTGATTCACTGGGATCTTGATGGGTTCACCAGACAGGCCTTCAGAGCACCTGGCTGGAGCCACATTCCATGGAGTCACAGAGTGAGGTTAACCCCTCTGCCACGCAGTGGAAAGGAAACGCACCCCCGGCCCTGAGGCTGTAAGGACACACTCACCATCATCCAGAATGACCAGCAGTGGAGCCAAAAGATCACACATTCCCTGGACATAGCCAATCTCAATGTGTTGCCAGATGTAACTAGAAGAGACACAAGGGACCAATGATGGCAGCCACGACCTGCCTCTCCAACCCACTCCCCCTTCCAGTCCTCCCCCTTAGGTCCCCAATTCCTCAGCCTCCTGCCTGCATCCCTGTCCCCAATCTCTCTCTTCAAATATCCTATGTGCAGTCACCAGGGTAACTCAAGGAGGCCTCTTTAGGCTCAAAACTTGCACAAGCACCCTGCTGTCTGCTGGGATGTTATCCAAACTCCTTTACCAGGGGTGCAAGGAGAAATAACCTCCTCCCAGCCCATCTTCACATCCTCAAACATCGCTTCTCACTGTCTTCCCTCCGGCTACACTGACATATTCACTTTGTACAAATAAATCACAAACGTTTGTCTCTGTAACTTTCCCCTACAGCTCCCTTTGTCAGGAATTCCAATCTTCCCCTTGCTAATGACAGCTTATGTTTACTGAGCCCTTGCTGTATACTCAACCCTCTATTTTCAAACTAGTCGTGTGAAATATGGACCATTATTATCCCATTTGCCAGGCAAGGGGCTGAAGCATAGACAGATAAATGACATGCCCCAAATCATACATCTAATAATAAGTGGTAGAGGCAGTATCTGAACCTAGGAGGCCTTACGCAGGGATAGATGATCTTAGCCTCTATGCTAAACGGTTTATTTAGTTTTCTTTTTCTTTTTTTTTTTTTTT